TGATCTGTAATTTAGACTATTTAAATGTGTTTTTAATGCCTAATGACCATTTTCATCATAAAATTTCGTCATTTTATTTATAAATTATATTAAATAATATTTATATAGTATATTAACAAAATTATAAGTGCATATTTGAGTGCATATTTAGCCACTTTTTAGTGCATATTATATGACATATTTGACTGCTTATAAATGCATATTTTGAAAGGCTTTACTCATCACACAATCCTTGATTGAAATGAAATAAATTTCGGAAATAATAACAAAATGTTTATTTGTTTCCAAAATCGGCGAAAGAATGAAAGTTTTGTTTTTTGTGATTTGTGTTCAACTAATGGCAAATTTGCGAGTAATTAAACGCTAAATAAATGTCGAATTAAATTTCTCGACGATTAGCGAAATGCACAGAAATTAACAAATTGCATATTCTTTACAATTCTATAGAAATATTTGTAATTTTTAGCAAAATATTTAAAATAAATGTATATTTATTCGGGTCAAAGAATAGATTCGTTGTTATTCTTAGCCATTTGAGACACGAAAGGAGGTTTGGTTTGGGAAGAGAGCACTTGTGGTTTGGGTTGTGATTCGGGAATGAAAACAGAACTTTGGTTTTCATTTCGGTAGACATTGTTGCAAACGAGAAACAGTTTTCATAATTTCCATGAATTCGTTTTATCGCCTATTAGTCAAAAATTACTTCATGGCAAGAGATTTGACATTTTGTTTTTATTGAAATAATTCTAACATGTGTTAACTTTTCAAGATTTAAAATTCTGTTTGTTTACAACATTTTTAATTTTATTTTTCATTTTAATCAATTTATTGTGAAATATCAATTATTGATTTGAAGTTTGATGACAAGACATGTCTTTGAGTTTATTGTGAATTCGTTCAAATCCATTGCTTTTGGTTTTCTATTCGCGTAAAACTCTTCGCTGTTTTCAATGAATAAAATCCCTTTTTGTGGTAAATATGTTTCATTTAAATAAACAGTCGATTCCTTATCAACGTTTAAAACGACTAAAAATGAGTCCAAATGTCGACCAAAACTGACAAAAGCCAAAACTCGAGTCGAATTCACTTTTGGGAACTTTATTTCTTTCGAAAACTTTGAATAAGTTTTGCGAAATTCAATCAAATCTTTGAAAAACTTGAGAAACGAAAACCCATTTGTGTTCAACTCTTCCTCGACATTGTATTTGCCGTAATTGTGGCCAATAGTGAGCCACGGCTTCAAATCCGTCGCTTCACTGAATCCTCCGTTATTTGCGTTTGAATTCCATTGCATTACAGATCTGTAATAGTTTTCAAAACTGAATTTATTCCTCGCGTTTATAATGACATCCGAATTGTCTTCTAATCCGATTTCGTCGCCAAAGAAGACAATTGTCGCCACTTTTGGACACAAGAGCTGAACAGCGATTACAAGCACTGAAANTGAATTTATTCCTCGCGTTTATAATGACATCCGAATTGTCTTCTAATCCGATTTCGTCGCCAAAGAAGACAATTGTCGCCACTTTTGGACACAAGAGCTGAACAGCGATTACAAGCACTGAAATGTTTTGATTATATCTCGAGAAAAGTCTTCCCAAACCATAATCACTGGTTTTCAATGCAATATTTGATGTGTTTTGAAAAAGTGATTGAAAAGTGTGTAAAATGTTTGAATCTTTGTTTTTCGACGAATTTGTGGCAAAACTTTTGTTGACCACTAAGTCCGCAGAAAAGTCTATATTTCGAGAAAGTATTGTTGTTTCCAATAAAAGACATTTATTGTCGTCAAAATCCTTAACTATTTTACGCCATTCTCGCAACAAATCGTTGAAAATATTTGCATTTAATTCACTTTTGAGAACAACGCGAAACCCATCGACACCTGAATTGAGCCAAAAAAGTAAAACATTCACAAATTCCTGACGAACTCTCGCATTAATCAAATCAATATTCGGTTCTTCGGCATTGAATTCACAGAAATAATACTCATTTCTGATTGGATTGAAAATCCAATTTGAATTTGTTTTGAGACTCAAATATTCCTCATTTGTTATCCATTTATAATAATGCGAATAATATTGGGTTTTGTGAACGGATTTTTTGAACCACAAATGCTTATCACTCGTAAACTCTGGCAAAAAGTCTATCAAAACTCTCATTTTCCGTTTTCTCGTGTTTTCTAGCAATTGTTTGAAATCCAAAAGACTTCCAAAGCTTTTGTCGATATTTTTATAATCCGTGAAATCAAACGAATTCTTGAAAACACTGTTCGACGGATAAAATGCACTCAAAATTATGCAATCAATGCCCAGAACAGCGCTAATGTAATCCAATTTCTCGACAACTCCCGTCACATCTCCCTCGCCATCGCTGTCGCTGTCTCTGAAGGCCCGGACGTCCATCTCGTAAAAGACGGCATTCGTCCACCACTTCTCCTCTTTTGTCGTGTTTTGGGTTTTGTTTGAATTCTCGTTCTTTTCGTCATTTGTGGGAAAAGTGAACGAAAAGAGAAAACCAAACGAAACAAAGAAAAGCAGAATTAAAACAAACAAATATTTCACGCATTTATTGCCAACTATTGATTTATTTGTGTTTTTTAATCGCGATTTAGAAACTATTTTCATTGAATTATTTGCCATTATTTGTTGACACAATGGAAACACATTCAAAACCAAACTAAACGCAAATTCAATCAAAAATGTGAAATCCGGGAAATGAATGCCTTTTTGTGTATTATTTTGTTTGACAAAAAAGTTCATTGAATTTGTCTCTAAAATACGGTTTATTAATGAAATAATGCAGTTTTGGAAACAGAAAACCACAAAAATTGTGACAAAATGCTAAAATAGAGTGAATCTTAAGTATTGTTTAATATTAATAATTGAGTTTATAAATGATTGAAACGAGAAAACGCCTAAAAGTCGATCAAAATGGTATTATTATAACAAGTTTTGGCTGAAAGCGAATGAATGAGTAATAATCCGTGGATTCCATGGAAACCAAACCGAAGGAGAGGGCGAAAGAGAGCCCAACATCTGATACAACAGAACAACAGATAGAACACAGCCTTAAGTGCTGAGTATTGCGAGAGAGAGGACAACGCCTTCGCTCTGTTTGTTCACATTTTCATTGTTTTGTCGCTCTTTTGCTGTCGTTTTAAACTTAATCCGATTGTCAGCACAAGTCATGGATGAGATCAAGACTAATGGCTCGACCGACACTCTGGCGAAAAGTAAATCCTTTCGCACCGTTCAGGCGGTTCTTCTGCTTCTGCTGGTCATTACGTTTCTGGTAATCATTGCTTTATTTATTACTCTTATTGAAAGCCATTATTTAAAACACAATTAATGTTTAGTTTAAATCTGTTTTCGCAATGTCTTCCCAAATTTGCTTAAAGTTTAATATGTTTTACATTTGAAACATATTTTTATTAATAAAGTTATAATTAAGAAAATCATTTTCCAAATTATAAGTACAGATAATTTCAATAACACAAGTGTATATCACATTTTTAATTAACATTACAACTATTTAAGACTCGATTCGACCATGTTGCCGAAATGCAACAGTTGGACATTGTTTTGTGCAATAATTGAAACACTGTTCAGTTTCTATGGGAATAACATTTTGCAAATAATTATTCTTAAATAAGTAAACATTATTCTCATAAATAATTTTTTCTCAAAAGTTCAAACAATGTTCAGAATATTGCAAAACAAATATCAGAAAAACAATATTATTTACAAATAATCGATAATTAACTCATTTATTATTTAAAAGTCATTATTGAACACAAGTATTAAAACGCTTAACCGTTGCTTCACAGGTCTATTTGGTGACTCTAATCGCGGACATCGTTGTGTTCAACAAACAAATCGGTTTCCTCTTTCTCACAATAATCCTCGACATTCTGGCGCTCACTATCATCGCGATCGGCATCCGAGGCGTCGCCCTCGAGATCTTCTACTTCGTGGCGGCGTTCGCGATGGTGGCGGCCGTCGTGACTGTGGGTCAGGCCACCACTTTCGCCTTCCGCTCCCCACTCCTCACCACAACCAACTTCCTGCTCGACCTCTCCATCACTGGCCTCGGCTTCTGGTTCGCGTGGATTCTCTATCAGGATCTGTTGAGCAGAGGCGGCGCCACTGTTATTCCCAACATCTGCATCGTCAAGAAGGTGGAAGAGGAGGACGCGAAGACCGACGGCAAAGTGGACGCCAAAGACGAGACCAAAGAGACGATCGCGAACTGAGTTTCCAAAGACATCATTATTTAAAGAGTGCTTTGAATGAGATTTTTGCGATTTCTTTCTATTCTGTGAATGGCTTTCACTTCTTATAGTATTTTTAGATAAGGTTTTAGAGATATTGATATTTATATACACTTTTAATCTGTAAACAACTCTAACTTTACAAACGATTGAAACACAAAACGTTTTTTTGAAACTGATTTTTGTGTCCAAATCACACATGAGTTCAAAGGCCGGGAATTTACATAATATTTAGTAAATTTGATATGTTATTGCAAATAAAACACAATTTTTGAAATTTAGACAATATTTTCTCTTTTCTATCGAAACAATCACAAAATCTCGAGTTTATTAAACTATCGATTGTTTTAAAAGTAATACAAAAACATTAATAAAACACAAAAAGCATTAATTATGTATTATTTAGTATAAAAGGTGTAAAAATCAATAAATGTTGAAATAATTACGGAAAACATATCCAAAAATATGCAAAAAATAGCTATAATTTGCATAAAATGTATTAATATTTGCTGTAATATATAAAATAAATTGCAATCATTTTAATGTCCAAAAACACAATCAAAATAAACATTTGAATCGTGACTGAAATTCCTATTAATTATTTTGAATCCGCTTTTTGTGGAAAACGCTTTGAAAACAAGGCTTTGTCTGAAATGATAATTTGTTTTTTGGTGTTTTCAACAAAAACAAAAAGTTCACAAAACGGGACAAATATTGCGCAAAAATGACACACATTTCGTTATATAATAATTTGAAATTCATAAAAGGCTTTATTAGTCGTTAACTCATATTTTTCTGGTTTTATAACTAAAAACAGGCGTCGAAAGAGTCTTCATTAATATTTAATGATTATTTTATTTAATAATTTTGAGCAAAACTTTCAGACATTGTATTCAAAGCGAAGTAAAACCAGAAAACGTAACAAAACTTGAATTTTGCAAACCATAAGAAAGCAATGAAATTAATTTTAGACATTATTCGCGAACAATCAGAGCGTTCACAACAGTCCTAACAATACCTGAGGTTTGGAACAAATTATTTATAAAATCACAACAAATAGCAAAATGTGTGAAATGTATGGAAAGACACGAAAATTATTGTCAAAACCGAAACTCAATCTCTTTTAACATACAGTCCTAACAATACCTGAGGTTTGGAACAAATTATTTATAAAATCACAACAAATAGCAAAATGTGTGAAATGTATGGAAAGACACGAAAATTATTGTCAAAACCGAAACTCAATCTCTTTTAACATAAATTTATTGTCACTTTTTGTTTAGTTTTATTGAACTTTTCGTACATTTGTTTGAATGTTGTTTGAGTTCAAAGTTTTGTAAATTAAATGCTTTTTTATATGAATTCAAAGCGATATTCATTATGAGAACACAATTACGGATTTCATATAAAATGCATTTAAATATTTGATAACAATTTTTTATAAACGGTTTTGTCATTAAATGCACAGAATTTTTGATAAATAGTCAATTAGTCGTTCATTTATAACCAATTTTTCCCATTTTATGCGTTAATTAATCATTGGATTTATTAATTAATACTTTTTATAAAAGCCATTAATTTAAACCGATTTATTTAATCTTTATAATGATTTTATTTCTCTTCATTTTCCTAAACTCTGAATAATTATAAACGAAATAAATATAAAATTAAACAAAAAATAATTTCCAATTAAAACTTTTGGAGACAATGTTTTCACGTTTTTCACAGTAAATACAAAAAGCAATTGTTTTCTCAATCGATAATCACTTTTAAGCAAAAGAAAGCAAAAAAGAGTTTCGATTTCTTTCGCGAAT